TCTGTCTGTGTGTGTGTGTCTGTGTCTGTGTCTGTGTCTGTGTCTGTGTCTGTGTTTGTGTGTCTATGTATGTCTGTGTCTGTGAGTGTGAGTGTGAGTGTGAGTGTGTGTGTGTGTGTGTGGTCTGGTCAATAGCTTGTCATTGATCTGTATGGCAGAAGCTCTTGTCGGAAGAGCCTCTATTTCAGGAGCAGCAGCGACAGCGACTGTAAATAATTCACTCGCTAACCTTCCCTGACCCTCAGAAACCAGACCAAACCGACACAACACAAAACTACATCAGTCCCATTAGGAGGGATTGATTGAAAGCTGTTTCCAGTTATGAAATTGAGTTATGATGTATTGTATGGAATTGTGTTGGCAGGCTCTTCAATCTGACTCTGAAGAAGCTGGTGATGCTGAAGGAGCTGGATAAAGATCTGACGTCTGTGGTCATCGCTGTCAAACTGCAGGTGATTGATTCTTTCACTCGTTCTTCTCGTTTAACAGGAAATATAAATCAACTCTGTTCACTTAATGCACATTCTGGCTTATTGTGAACCATTCATCAGTGCACTTCATCTGAAACGACAGCACAATAATATCAGCCAATAATATCACAGCACGCTTTTTATGATACAATCAAATCCTGATGGTTAAACTCACACAAGTGTGTGTATTTTTAAATGTTACATTTAATTTGTATTTATTTTCCAAAGAAAATAACTTTTATTGAGGAAAGATTTATTCAGCATTAATTTAACTTAAAAAAATAATTTGTAATGTTATACAAGATATATATTTCAAAATAGTGTTATTTGTGTACAATATTGTAAATTTTTTATTCGTTATTTATTTATTTATTTATTCCTTTATAATGTTACAAAAGGTTTTGTTTACAATTTTTTTTAAATGAATTACATATATTATTTTTTTATTTGTAATTGTATTTATTTATTTACAAAATATAATTTTTATTTAGTTTAGTATTTCACATTTATTTAATCAAAAGTGACAGTAAAGACATTTGTGGTGTTACAGAAGATTTTTGTTTTAAATAATTGTTTTGTTTTCTAATTAAATAAAAAAAAATTTTTTAAATAATAATAATCACATGCACTGTGAGTTGTAAGGTCTTATATAGACAGGTGTGTGGTTTTCCTAATCAAGTCCAATCAGTATAATCAAACACAGTTGGACTCAAATGAAGGTGTAGAACCATCTCAAGGATGATCAGAAGAAATGGACAGCACCTGAGTTAAATATATGAGTGTCACAGCAAAGGGTCTGAATACTTAGGACCATGTGATATTTCAGTTTTTCTTTTTTAATAAATCTGCAAAAATGTCAACAATTCTGTGTTTTTCTGTCAATATGGGGTGCTGTGAGTACATTAATGAGGAAAAAAAATTAACTTAAATGATTTTAGCAAATGGCTGCAATATAACAAAGACTGAAAAATTTAAGGGGGTCTGAATACTTTCCGTACCCACTGTAAATTACATTTTAAAAGATAGTCACACAGACATTAGCTATTTTAAGTAGTAATAATATGAAAAAAATTTACTGTATTTTTGATCAAATAAATGCGGCCTTGATAAGCAGAAAAACATGAATAAAACCTCACTGTCCTCTTTCTGTGTCTTCTGCTCTCTTCTGCGGATCTTAAAGACAAAGCGTGTAATGTTTGTTCACTCAGGGCTCGAAGCGAATCCTCCGATCCAATGAGATCCTCCTGCCATCGAGCGGCCAAACAGAGACAGACCTGCAGCTCACCTTCTCCTTACAGGTGAGTGTCAGCACAGTCTCTTCACTTGCGTATGGCCTCAAACCAACACTCACAGTCGTCTCTGTGTCCTCGCAGTATCCACACTTCCTGAAACGAGACGCCAACAAGCTGCAGATCATGCTGCAGAGGAGGAAGAGGTACAAGAACAGGACCATCCTGGGCTACAAGACGCTGGCGCTCGGCCTCATCAACATGGCAGAGGTGAGGCGTGGGAATTCTTCTGCTGTGTGCAAATACATCTTCACAACTTTCTAGTTTCTTTGCTTTTTGTTTCTAATTGGAATCTCTGTAAGTCAGTACTGTCATCTTAAAAATAGGGTGTGAATCTTCACTGGTCACTTCACAAACTCAATATCACGATGCATCAATGCTCAATTTTCAATATTACTGCACATGGCTACATTTACATATCAAATTTATTTTGTGCAAAATTTACTTATATATATATATATACAAGCAGGCTACTTTTTTAAAACAATGATTTATTTAAAATAAGCATTCTTTATCTGAAAGTTTACAGACAGTAGTTATTTTTTTATTGCTGTGTGATTGTTACTGATGAGATCTTAGACAGTGGCAGCTTTAACAGGCTGCATTCACACTAATGCACAGATCTGTTTCCATATATCAGATGTTCTGTCTTGCTCTGGAAACATAACTGACTGTGTTTACGTCAATTTCATATAAAAGTATTCAAAAATGCAAGTGCATTGCATGCATGCATTTAATTGAAAATGACATCAAGTGCATTGCATGCATGCAAGGCTCAGCCGTTCCTTCGTTTGTGAACCGGTGATTGCTGGTGTTGTCAGGTGATGCAGCACCCCAGCGAAGGCGCTCAGGTCCTGGGTCTGCACAGTCAGCTGAAGGAAGTGTCCGTCCCTGTGGCCGAGATCCGGGTTTATTCTCTGTCCAGTCAGCCCATCGACCGCGAGGGACCCAAAGCCAAGATGAGTGGTGAGACACTGCCACTGACCAATCACAGTCAAGTGTTCCAGAGTCACGTGACTGTCGTCTGCCACTTCAGTGTGAATAAAGGGAATTTATAGTGTTGTTGTTTTTCTTTGGCTCAGATCGTTCTCCAGACATTGATAACTACTCAGAGGAAGAGGAAGAGAGTTACTCGTCTGAGCAGGAGGGCAGCGACGACCCCGTTCACCATGTAGGTCCATCATGAAGGGCAAAATTAGCTATATACACCAAAAGCACTTTTTGTACCAGGCTGTAAACATGTTTTTTTCTGCTGTAAAGTTGGGCATTTTAACATGGGGAGTCTATGGGACCGACTCCCTTTTGCAGCCCGCCTCTAGCGGCCAGTCGATGAATTACAGTTTAAGTCACTTACGTGTTGGCTTCACCAGAGAGAGCGAGAGGTTGCCGCTTGAGCAAAACAAATGGCAGCATTCGGCCTCCTAGAGTGTTTGGGGGGAGGTCCTTTTCACTGGAACAAGGACGAGACCAATCAGGATCTCTGCTGGCTTGAGTGCACAGACACACTCAGAAATACATACACGTACTTCAACAGAGCTGAGATGTGACAAAGTACAAAAATTTGTAAAACTGCAATAGAAAATAAAGCTGCATTAACAAAGAAATGTATTACAAAAATGCAAACAAATTATCATAATTAAAATAAAAATGGAAAATATAAAACTAAATGCAATTCAGTTCATAATAGTAATACTAGCAATTATATGTTTTTTATACCTTTTATATATAGATTTCTTATGAATATTGATATAAATGTTTATTTTTTTCATCTCACATTTCTATTCTCACCTCAAAAAGATGGGAAAGACGTGAACTCTTGTCTCTGGGCTGTGTTATTTTGTCATATGTGACGCTGGAGCACAAAAGCAGTGTTAAGTCGCTGGGGTATATTTGAAGCAATAGCTAACAATACATTGTATGGGTCAAAATTATCCATTTTTCTTTTATGCCAAAAATCATTAGGATATTAAGTAAAGATCATGTTCAGTGAAGATATTTTGTAAATTTCTTACCTACTAATTTTTTATTAGTAATATGCATTGCTAAGAACTTCATTTGGACAACTTTAAAAGTGATTTTCTCATTATTTAGATTTTTTTTTGCACCCTCAGATTCCAGATTTTCATCTCGGCCAAATATTGTCATATCCTGACAAACCATACATCAATGGAAAGCTTATTTATTCAGCTTCCAGATGATGCATAAATCTCAATTTATAAAAATTGACCCTTATTACTGGTTTTGTGGTCCATGGTCGTGTATACGGTGTGGAATGTGGCTGTATGTTGATCTGCAGGTGCTGACTGAAGGGGTGTGTTTGTGGTGCAGGTGGGTTTCGGGCTGGAGCACGTGTCCCGTGAGCAGATCCAGGAGGTGGAGGAGGATCTGGACGAGCTCTATGACAGTCTGGAGATGTACAACCCCAGCGACAGCGGGCCGGAGATGGAGGAGACCGACAGCATCCTCAGCACTCCCAAACCCAAGCTCAGGTCTCTGTCTGTCTGCGGCGCCCTCTGCTGCTCACCTCCACACTCTACCGCTGTTTACTGAGGCACTCGACAGATTCAGTGCTGCATTTCAGCCCGGGCCCCGACTTTTTTACGCCCCTCAGGGTGGGCTTCGGGCCTGTTTTAGGCTTCTCCTAATTTTTATATTTTAGACATCCATCAATTAGTGATGGAAAAAAAATTGCCGCGCTGATAAAAACAACACGAGACCGTGCTACAGCGACTGTCAAGAGCGGCTCTGTTTAGTAGCTGTTTAGTATCAATAGGCTAAAGCTTGCCGCAAAGCACCGGCAAACGTAATTACCATGAATGTGTCAGGGGGAAATAGTAAGGAGATATTTGAATTATTTACTAATAAACTAGTGTTTTCTGAGTCGCCATCTCCTCATTAGACGCGCCTTTAGAGAGAAGTGCATCTTTACGGATTATGATCATAATGAAAGAGTTGACCCCTTTAAAGCTTTCTATAGATATTTACATTTAGTCATTTAGCAGATGCTTTTATCCAAAGCGACTTACAGATGAGGACAATAAAAGCAGTCAAAACTAACAAAAGAGCAACAATATATAAGTGCAAATGACAAGTCTCGGTTAGCCTAACGCAGTACACGTAGCAAGGTGTGTGTATAATATATATACTGTATGTATATATTATACACATATACATATACACACACACACACACACACACACACAGAAAAACAAGTAGATAGAATAGAAAAAATAGGAAGCTAGTGTTTTTTTTTGTTTTGTTTTTTTTATAAAAAAAAGAAGATAAATATAGATAAAGTAGAATTACAATAGAATAGAAAGTGCTAGAGTTAGAGGGTCAAATAAAGGTGGAACAGATGTGTTTTTAGTATATAGATAGTATTTAGATATATTTATCATGTCTGTGAGGCACGTATTCGCTGAGTTTCGGTTCAGTTTTTGCGAAGCGCTCCTGTTCAAGACCGAGACGGCAGAAAGCGCATCATGTTTGTTTTCTTTATTTTACAAAAGCACAAGGTTTTGTTGATATTGTGAGTGCACACAAATACAAGTAGACCCTTTACAGTTACGAAGGATGTATTACGCTTACCTTTGTGAGCACAAATGACGGCGCAGGCTATTTTAAGTTGTTCCCACTGAAAAATAATGCAAGTGATCGCGCTGACGCCTCCGTGTCCTGCAAAGCGCGCTTTAGGTTCCACTTTCCGCGCAAACTTGGATATATGGGCAAATGTACAGTTAGTTCATAGTTAATAGTTAGTTAATAGTGAGAATTGGACTCTAATCTAACGTGTGACCAGAAGAATTTATGTAGTTATCTAGTTACTTGCTAATCATGCTAGCAACATGCTAGTATCATACTAATCATGCTAGCAAAATTGCTAGTAACATACTAATCATGCTAGCAACATGCTAGTATCTTGCTAATCATGCTAGAAACATGCTAGTCACTTGTTAATGATGCTAACAACATGCTAGTTATTTGTTAATCATGCTAGCAACATGCTAGTCACTTGCTAATCATGCTAGCAACATGCTAGTCACTTACTAATCATACTAACAACAAGCTAGTTACTTGCTAATCATACCAGCAATATGCTAGTAACAGGCTAATCATGCTAAAACATGCTAGAAACATGTTAGTGACATGCTAGTATCTTGTTAATCATGCTAGAAACATGCTAGTCACTTGTTAATGATGCTAAGAACATGCTAGTTATTTGGTAATCATGCTAGCAACATGCTAGTCACTTGCTAATCATACTAACAACAAGCTAGTTACTTGCTAATCATACCAGCAATATGCTAGTAACAGGCTAATCATGCTAAAACATGCTAGAAACATGTTAGTGACATGCTAGTATCTTGTTAATCAGGCTAGAAACATGCTAGTCACTTGTTAATGATGCTAGTAACATGCTAGTTATTTGTTAATCATGCTAGCAACATGCTAGTCACTTGCTAATCAT